CTGAATAGAATAATTAGGTCATTAGCAGGACTCTGGAGAACTTATCTATTCAATTAGCTACTTTGACTCTGGTGTTTTGTACCTGTGGCACATCTAAAAACTGCCCAAATGTTTTTTTCTTCATTAGTACGTCATGCTGGTGGCTGAAGCCTGTGACGATGACTTCAACACATTTCTTCAGAAAGGTTGGCACGACTTTTAATGCTGCCCAGAATGTTTGTGTAAGCTAATTTCTAAAACACCTATTGATTATGTGATACTTAATGTCTGAGTTGTGTTCATGATAATTATTTCTGACTTTTTTTATGCTTTCTCTTGTTGGTGGTGAAAAATGCTCTCCAGGCTAAAAGGGGAGGAGGGGGCAGGGTATTTTGAATGAATATGACTGTGACGCACGCAGGTGGCTCTGATTAGTTTTTCTCACGCTTCTCTTTAAGATATGTATTTATTATCCTAGTGTTTCTACTATTCTTGTTTTCCCTCCAGGCTGGGAAAAACAGACATTCTTCTGTTGGCTCATGTGCTTCTTCCTACGTGCAAAGGCCACAAGAAAAAAATGCCAAAACAGCTCATGTCAAACCGTGGATGATGTCGACAGATATGTGCAGCTATGTGGTTGTTCTAATGATCCTATTTATTTGTAGAAGCACATTGTCATTGGCTTAGTTTGCTATTTAAATGTAGCTGTGCTTAATTTTTATTGTCGTCTCAGCATTTTGTCAAAGACGGGAGCCAGTGTAAAAGCCTTCCTCATTGGTGTGGAACCAGTGCAGCCCTTGCTCCTGCTTGTTGGTGAAAACAAGAGCAGCACCAAAAACACTGCACCGTCAGAGATCACTAGACCATCCCTGACCATCCATGGCACACAAGACTCCCTATGGTCACCTTTGGTGAACTTTCAAAACACTCTCCATCCTCAGTTCAAAGTACCATGAATGTCTGACCTTTGTTGTATATTGCTGTCAGTGCTATTTGATCTTGTTTTGAAATAAAAGTAGATTATATACTGCAACTTGTGTTGGTCTTTTTGTAGACTCAAGTGGCATCTAATGTCGTTTAAAATTAATTTGGGGATCATTGACTACCAATACTTCCTGAAAATGTTTTCTCCCATCATTTCTCTTGATCTCTCTTCCCTTCAACTCGGACCTGCTTACCCTTATGCACTTACGATCAGCATCTCCCAAACATGATGCTCCCACTGCCATGTTTCCTGATAGGGGTTTTGTATTCAGGTCTTTGTCTGAACAATTCAGTTTTCGTCTCATCTGACTAGATAACCTATGTCACTGGTGGTAAACTGAAAACATAATTTGGCTTGACTGATAATAATTATGATTATTATTATTAAATTGATTATGCATTTTATTTATAAGTGTCTTTCAGAGACCTCAAAGACTTTGCATAGGTTTTGCATAATAAAACAAGTTAATAAAATCACTTGGAGTTTATGGTTTTATATGACAAAATGTCTGAACATTATACTTACTTGCAGTGACTTAGCAAGAAATAATAAAAAATGTATGTAAATTTAAGCTCGTTTCACTGTGATATTTACAAGACTAAATACAATGTATTTCTTTCCAAATTCATTGTATTATATTTAAAAATGTTGAAGTACTTTTTTCTCCTTTTTTGTTTTAACTATTTACTACGAGGAAGTCCATCAAACGTCTCCACACTTCAGGAGAGATGAATGTGAGGGGATGTTTTAGAAACCTGGCTCCATAACGCATGCAGTCACAAAATTCAAGAAAATTCCACAAAACATGCCAAAGCTCATCTTTAAGCTTAGCCATAATTCTTCATATAAAAGCAGCATCATTTTAAAAAGTAGATTTCTCAACATTTACAATAAAATGGCAAGAGAGAAGGCAAGAAAAAAAAGACGAAGTCAAAAATAATCAGCTAAAAAAAAAGACTCCTGATATCAGCAGCAATATTACTAAAATACGGAAAAAAGAAAAAGGTTTGGATACCGTATTTGTGGTAAAATTCTGATGAATTGAAATTGTTTGCTGGTGCAAATTTAAACTGAGTATACAATTTCTATAGAACACCTGTTTGTCATCCTTTCCCCAGACGTTTTTCAAGTGCATGCTACTGTGCATCCATAAAAAGATGGTCCAAACCAGTCTGGTTCCTCAAGTGTCACCAGATGTTCACAAGCTCAGCCAGCAAAGCATTTCCCTCTGCAAATGGCCCGATTTTGCCTGCTTCTCCACTCTGTTTCACCGACTCTCAGTCTGTTACACTCCACTTTGGATGCGTACCAGTGCTCTGTGAAAAGCAGCCTCATTTTGTAGGTTAATAAGAGTGAACCTATATTTAACATGGAGGGAGGAAACCATAAGAAGGCCCTTTGGCTGTCCCAGAGCTTTGTCTCTGTAGACTGACTGGCCCTTTTTTGTGCAAGACAGCTTCAATGTGGCCTCAATAGGAAAACAGAGTCTAAACTGAATGTGTCATAGCTAAATGCATCCATTAAAATCAATCTTACTGTGAAGGATGAATGAAAGTTGTACTGATCTTTAAAAGACACAAAGTTTCAAATTCTAAAAAGTTGAAGCAGGAATGAGATATAGTTCTTTTCTGCACATTTACAGTAAAAGTAAAGATGGAAAAAAAATATCCAAAAGGTTTACACATTTGCAATTACATTTATTCAATTCCTCACACAGTAATTAAATTCTATAGTAAATGGTTATTTGATGTCATTGTCATAAAAACCCAGGTGTAACAGATTGTAAATCTTTCAAATATTCACTAAGCTAATGTTTTAAAGGAAGATTAAGTCAAGTAAATATAGCTTAAACTGAGAAAATAAAAGGAACAGTGTGATAACCAGTTTGGTCCTTATGACCCAAAATCAGGTTGTTGCACAGCAGACCTGTGAAGCAGGCACAAGGGAGTCACCATAAAGCTGAAATGATGTGTGTGTGCATATAAAAGAGAGCCAGCACATCAAAACAAACAGGTCAGGACATAAACTCTGCCATCAGTCTTGGGATTCCAAGGCTGGCAAATGTGTCCTCATATGGCACCCTCTCTGTGTTAAAAAGACTGCTGTGTTCTTCCACAAAAACAACAAAAGATTCCTGGACGTAACTCAAAAATAACAGCGTATGGGAAAAATAAAAAAAAAAAAAAAAAAAAAAAATCAAATAATCTTATTAATTTCAAAGTATTTTACTCAGTGTTTTTCAGCCTTCATGAAAAACACTGAGATGATGGCTCTCACAAGCAATATACAGTAGATGTTGATTTGGAGGCTCAGTCTCTTTGAGGATTATTAGATGTTCCAACAGGACAACAATGCTGAACACTATTTTCATGTGAAACCAGTCAGATAAAAACAAACATGTGCTCATAACCTTTATTTGTAAAAATCCATTCAAGTTTTTCCCTGGATTGAATATTAGACCATGTAAAATAATGTCGTTTTTAAAAGCACAAATTTCAATGACATTTCTGCCCAGGATCTTTGTAGCAAAGCTTCTGATCTGTGTAGAATCTTGAAAACGAAAAAAGGAGAAGCATAACCTCCATTACCTTTGTCGAATATGTGTGACTGGGTGTTGGCGCAGATTGCCTGCACTGATGAGAGACTTTATAGATTAGTTCAGTCATTTATTATTCACTTTAATTTAATCTTGAGGAAGCAGATGCTGTTAGGCCACAAGTACAATCACCTCTCTCTTTTTTTTCCCTTTTCCTCTCTTTTGTGCTTTGTTCCTTCCACTTCTCGTCAAGGTGCATGCCTGTGTGCTAGCATGTAATGTACCTAAGAAAGTGAAGGTAAAAAAAACAAATAAATAAGAATGCTGGACACATCTGCAAAGTCAGCTCCATCTGTAAAAGACATCAGAAGAGCCAACATAACAACCGGCAAAGTACTTAATGATGCCTCATCTGTTTGGTGTTTTCTGTTCTGAACAAATTCTGCTCAGTTAGCTGTTATTTAGTTTTCCCTCAGCGCACATGACACAAAAACAAATGCATAAGTGTTTGACACTGTATGCATTGTCAAACATGCATCCGGTGCATGTTGATGCCTCTCAATCAGCCGGCGGTATCAACAAATGATTGGGAGAGAATCGTTTTTGATTCTCCAATGAAAAAGTCTTTGCCATTTCCTGAAATTTTCCTGCGTCATGCAGAGAGTGAAACTGACATCTTTCGACATGACCGAACAGACTGCATATGGCTTCATGTGTCCACAAAAAATGAAGACTGTTCCTTCAACAGGGACAAACAACAAGTGGCAGTGGCAAGTAGTGCAAATTGGAGAGTGATGGAAGAAGGAAATGACAGAAAGTGATCAGGTTGTCTTCCTGTAGCCTAAGCCCAGAGAACAGTCACTACAGAGAGTTTTCTAAAGTATAAACAAATCTTTTAATTTTACCAACATTTTGCTTCTGAGTTGAAGGGATGCTAATGTTTTGGATTGGCCCAGCCACTTGTCGATTATATCTACGAACCAGGGTCGTTTCTTGAACCTCTTGGTTAAATTTCAAACTCTCAAATCTTAATCAGCCAGAGGTATCAACAATTTTGAGCTAAACTGCAAATATGCTACATAGTGAATCTGCACACAGCGTAGCATAAGAGGTATGGATGTAAACTGAGCGCAGTTAAAAGTTACAGTTTTATGTCTTGTCTGTGAAACATAAAAAAATCTTTAGAGATCACATTTAAGGCCACAAAGTACAACAAGACACATTGAACACCTTGCAAATACTTCCATGTGCAGTTTTGCTGCTTTTGAATTTAAGAAGTAACCTAAGGTCATTGAAATTGAGAACAGACTCTTTTTTTTTTCTTTTTTTACCTCAAGAATAAATGGGCTCTGATATATTTATAAGTAGCCTAATTGAAACTGTCCTGTCTGTGAGGAATGACCTTGTTTAAAATGAGAGTGTGTCTGTGCGTGTGTGCGCGTGTTCGTGTATGTGTGTGTGTGTGGGGGGGGGGGTTGAGCACAACGTGGGGTTGGGGGCAGAGGGAGGCTGGCACGCCCAAGCTAAAGTACTGAATGACGTGCGTCTGTTGTGTCTTCTGTATCGGTGCGTCCTGCTATTGGCGGACTATTGGAAAAACAAAGCAATCAGCGGCGCGCCGTAGGCGGGTGGATCGCCGGTTGATAAATCCAGATCTCTCTCCTGTGGGCGGGAACGGCAACAGTCGAAGAGCGAAAGTGAGGCGCATGAGGAGCGAAAGAGAGGAAGAGACGTGGAAGAACCGAGGCTGTGGCGGGGGCTGTGGTTGACCGGGGTCCGCGGAGGGGGCGAGGCGTCCGCCCCTGCATGCGACTTCAGCCGCGCATGGACGACCACCTCAGTCTCCTGCAATCACCCCCGCCGAGCGCAACCAAAACCAGAGGCGACACCCTGGTGAACCACGGCTACACCGAGACAGAGGCCGACGTGATGACGGTCGTGGCGTGTGACAACATGCTGGAGGAGTCGGCGGCTTTGCCGGGCCACCACTCTCTGGACCGGTACGAGCCGGACCACGAGTGCTGCGAGCGGGTGGTCATCAACATCTCAGGGTTGCGCTTCGAGACGCAGCTGAAGACGCTGTCACAGTTCCCAGAGACGCTGCTGGGGGACCCCAAGAAGAGAATGAGATACTTCGACCCCCTCAGGAACGAATACTTTTTCGACCGGAACCGACCCAGCTTCGATGCCATTCTTTATTACTACCAGTCAGGCGGGCGCATCAGGAGACCTGTAAACGTGCCCATTGACATTTTTTCCGAGGAGATCCGCTTCTACGAGCTGGGCGAGGAGGCTATGGAGAAGTTCAGAGAGGATGAGGGCTTTATTAAGGAGGAGGAGCGGCCGCTGCCTGATAATGAGTTTCAAAGGCAGGTGTGGCTGCTCTTTGAGTACCCAGAGAGCTCGGGTCCCGCCCGGGGAATCGCGATAGTGTCTGTCCTGGTCATTCTCATCTCCATTGTCATCTTCTGCTTAGAGACGCTGCCGGAGTTCAGGGACGAGAACAGGGACCCGATCACCATTGCGCCTCTGATAAATGGCACGCTGCCCTATTTCATTAGCCCCTTCTCGGACCCCTTCTTCGTGGTGGAGACGCTGTGCATCATCTGGTTTTCATTCGAGCTGCTGGTGCGCTTCTTTGCATGCCCGAGTAAAGCCACGTTCTCCAAAAACATCATGAACATCATTGACATCGTTGCCATCATTCCCTACTTCATCACCCTGGGCACGGAGCTGGCAGAGAGGCAGGGGAACGGACAGCAGGCCATGTCTCTGGCCATCCTGCGCGTAATCAGGCTCGTTCGGGTGTTCCGCATCTTTAAGCTTTCGCGGCACTCCAAGGGCCTACAGATTTTAGGGCAGACTCTAAAGGCCAGCATGCGCGAGCTGGGACTGCTCATCTTCTTCTTGTTTATTGGGGTCATCCTCTTCTCCAGCGCCGTCTACTTCGCCGAGGCAGACGACCCGGAGTCGGGGTTCAACAGCATCCCGGACGCGTTCTGGTGGGCGGTCGTCACCATGACCACCGTGGGTTACGGGGACATGCACCCCGTGACGATCGGGGGCAAGATCGTGGGGTCGCTGTGCGCGATCGCGGGCGTGTTGACCATAGCGCTGCCCGTGCCGGTCATCGTGTCCAACTTCAACTACTTCTACCACAGAGAGACTGATGGCGAGGAGCAGGCGCAGTACCTGCACGTGGGGAGCTGTCAACCCCTGGCGGACACGGAGGAGCTGAGGAAGACACGGTCTTCCTCCTCACTCAGCAAAAGCGAGTACATGGTGATAGAGGAGCACGGGATCAACAGTGCGTTCAAGCAGCAGCCAAACTTCCCGACCACCACCACCACCGCTCAGAACAACTCGCAGAACTGTGTCAACATCAATAAAAAGATCTTCACCGACGTGTAGCCAGCTTTACAATAATTACAGGATGACGCGATGAGTCAAAACATATATGCAGCAGCGTTTGGGAGCAAAGGCAGATAAAAAGAGAGCAAAATAGTGGGGGGCGGGGAATAAAACATGGGCACAACCCGTCTGTTGTAAAGAGATGCTTTGTGCGCCATTCCAATAATTTGGATTTTTAAAAAAATCTATATATTTAAGTCATTCTTGCTTGCAAAAAGAGAATGACATCTCTCGACATCTACTCGTTGCTCTCCGAATGAGCGACAACGAGTCTGCTGTGCGCCGCGAGGCGGGCAGCACGTTCGGCACGTCACAACAGGTAGAGAGATAAAAGCTGTGTTGACTGTGAAAGACGAGCACGAGCAGACGCTTCTGACAAAAGGACGCTCACGCGGGTGCCATCGTGCGTCAAGAGTCGTGATTCGACAGTAATACCCTATATGTTCAATATTCGCAGTCATTTAAATATGTGTAGCATCTGTGTGTGGTCAAGCATACGTCATGTCAGAATGACGTAATCCAGCATAATATATATCTATGTCATATAAACCGTTCTGTGGTAGCCTATACCTTTATTGTGCGTTAAAGTCTAGTCTAAATACTACTACTGTCTTTAAAAAAAAACATAGATTTAAATCGTCTTGGTAGGCTATTTAATGCGTAAGCAGCTCCACGTAAACCACTAGAGTCAAGACGGCCGTCAGGGTCTCAGTATAGATACTACACACACGTGAGGAGGGGGACAAAATAGGGCGCGTTCTCCGATCAAAGATGGGGCGCGTTTCTCTTGTAGCCTCAAATAGAGCCCGCTGTGATGCAGTCTCCATGGTGACGCGCGTTTCCTCGGTAACCCTTCTCCCCCCTCACCCCCTCCCCAAGTCACCGTTGCCATAGCATCACTGTTTCCACAGTAACCTACCCAGATGGTTTCAAAGTTATATTGGAGATCCTCGTGCGAGTGGCTTGTCTTTCCGGCGTCTCAATCAATCAGACCAAAACATATTCAGATTCAACGACTGTTAAAGACTGCCGGTACAGGAAGTAAAATAAAATAAAATAAAAATAGTGAAGACCTCAGCCACTCTGAAGCTGGTCAACAATCACGGGCCACAACTCAAAACGCTGTTGTGGTGGGAGACTGAAAGTGAAGAGGCAGCGTGTGAAGAATTATGAATGGACTGGGAATACGTCGCACGACGGCCCCGAGTGCACTACTGCGGGTGGCCATTGGAGGACGCTGTTCCACTGACAAAAAAAAAAAAAAGGTAAGCTCTGTCTGTGATTCCTTTGTTTATATTGAAAACGCCTTACAGTATTTCTGTATCTGTGTGTCTGGTAGTCAGACAAAAGGTTTGACATAAAAAAATAAATAAAAAAAAACTCAAACAAGCAGGTCAACATTAATGATTGTGCACAGGGCTCCCTCATACATGAAAGAACAGGCTGTTGTGGCGTTTAGATTTGGTTCATGGCATTCATCAGTGTATCTCTTTTTTTGCGGAAAACATATTTCCATCCATCCATTCATCCTTCCATAAATCTTCCTATTCTCTTTATCTAATTTTCCTTGCAGCTTTCTCAGGTGTCTGATGTCTGTCTCCAGCAGTCATTGGACAAGAGGCAGAAAGCATTTCCAGTACATCACAGTTACTTGTTAATTTTTTATTTTATTTTATTTTAATAAGTGTATAATTGTAATAATCTGGCATCTGATCATTGCACATATTTCCCATGTTTAGCCTTCCATCTAGTGAGCTTCTCTTTGTTTATTATGCAAAGGACAAAAATATTCTTCCTATGTGACCAGGTTGCCTTTCACCTTCATTTGACTTTGGATATAAAATCAGTAGGACCAGCAACAGCATGCCAAATCAGCCTGTCTAAGCTGCGCCCCCTGGTGGCCACTGTTTGCTTCTAATAGGCCAAGTGGCTCACATCTGCTTTCATAACCTCTGTGTTCTCCAGAGGTTCACCAACATTGGGATAAAACACGAAAAGTAGGAAAAAAAAACTCCCCCCCCAAAAAAAAATTCCATTAATCTGGATTATGGAAAGTCTTATTCTGTGATTCCCTGGAGGCTATATAAATGCTTTCATGCACTAATGTCTATGCTTTAAGTGTTTCAGCTCATTTTAAACATACCGTAAAGCCACACGTTTGTGTTTAGATATAAGTTATGGTCGTACCACATTATATGCTGATATATGTTAAGCATGTTCAACAGAGGTGGATGGAAAAGTTTAATGAAAAATAATGCAATCTGTGGCATTTTAAATAAAATTAGAGTGTGCATATCTTATTCTGAAGATTGAAGTAAGTGGTGCTATGTAAATATTTAGAACTTTCTGATTTTATGAAACGTTCCCATTGATTTACAACCCAGACTTCTACTTTTTTCCTCTAATTTTCTAATGCTTGCTATATTTCTCTGTCACTTGAGTTTGCCTTTGTTTTCTATATTTTACTTACTTCTCTTTTTCTTTGCTGCAGTTCACATTATGTATTTTATGCTACTTTTACTTTGTTTCTTGAACCCCCCCGCCCTCCCAAATAAAAACAGTGCCTCAGCTGAACAGCTGCCAGTAAAAATGCAGCTATTAATGGAAACAGACTATGGGAATTCAGATTATTTGTCCTTAGATACTAACTTCAGTGTCCCATTACTAAAAACGTTCATTAAGACAAAAAGAAAAATAATTTTATGAGACATGCTCTTCTTTTTAGCTCGTATTTTAGTAATGTAATTAATTGAGGCAACATTCTTAGTACACTGTTTTTCTACTGTATGTTTTTCTCTGACCTGTTTTATCAAAACAGGTCTGCTGTCATTGGCGCGTTGTATTAATAATTGAATATGTATGAATAAAGATCAAATGAAAATTGCATAACTTGATTTGTATTTTGAGCTTTTCAAAGCGGGCTTTGGCATGACAAGATCAAACGGGAAGAAGAAAGATGCTTCCTTTGTCAATGAGACTGTCAGAGTGACATAACTCTGCAGTTCTGACACTTTCTCTTTCTTTCTCTTTGTTTCTGCTCAGACGACCTGGATCCCCTGATGATGTCATTTCCATTGCCTCCCTTCAAGGTAAAAACAAAAAAAACATTATTATTATGTGTTTTAAATTATCCTGACCCCACAAAGTCTGTATTAAAAAATGATTCTCAGAAAAAGCTTTTGTTAAATTACATATCAGAATATTAAAATTATTTCAGTGTTACATTGATAAATTGCACGTTGGCTCAAACATCAAATGTAATACAGAAGTCTATATCAAGATTTGACTGTATTTTGTACATTTTTCATGATAGTGAAAATCAATCCTCTTATAGCAACTGATGGAATGACTCATAAAATGTAATTTTAAATCTAATTTAGTCCAACTGATAAACGTATTTTCACTTTCTTTTAAATATAAAGTATTTATGGATATTTAATTCAATCTTGGCTTTCTTTAGAATACTAAATGTTCAGTTGACTAAATATTTAGTTGCTTTACATTTTAGTTTCTCACTATTTCAAAAATGATTACTGTACTCCAAAAAATCATTACTTTATACTTTATACAAGGTGTGCCCGGCCATATTACCCTTAAAGCAAAATTGGCACTTGCTTCCTGTAGTACTTAGATCATCCACCAGAGGGAATAAGAGAAGAACTGGCTTTTACACAACAGGTCTCAGAAGAAAGGGAGAACTTTGTGTGAGAGGTCTCAGACATGTCAAAAATAATGCATCTGGGCTTAAAGGGTTAAGGTGAAATTTCAAACAGTTTAGTTCAGAGATTCTCTGTACTTTTCCTCAAGTCCCACTGCCCCTCATGTTTTATGGGTTTCCCATCTGCCTCTCGCCTGACTTAAACGAATGGATGATGAAAACGGTACTGCGTCAGACAATGGGACAAAGCGGAGGTAATGCAATTATTTGAATCAGGTGTGTTAGAGTACTCATCTAACACACAGAGGCCCTGGGATTAGGATTGGTTAAGGTCATCCACTAACCTGGAGTGAATCTATTTTTCTCCTCAGGATGCAGAGACTTCATCCTGGTTCTGTTGGACTGGATAGGCCCGGTGGATTTGATCTACTCCCCCTGCTTTCTTAATTTCAACGGGTGCCCTCCAATTGGTGACAAGTAATTCTCCCACTTTTCAATTCAAAATGCATAATCAACAGGCACATAAAGCTGTTCTCAGAACATTTTGTAGCACACAGTTTGGACTTCACACTCTATGAATGGAACCTTTGCAGGGTCAAAGGTCATTGAGATGTAAAAAAAATTAAAAAAAAAAAATAAATAAATAAATATCCGGACATTTTCTAAATGGCATACAATAGTTAAGCACAACAATCTGCCAGCATTTTTGCAAAGCACCTTTCACTTTATGGGGACTTTGATTTTTTAAATCTTTTTACTTTGTTTTTTTATTTAATTTCCCGCAAAGGTGATAATAATCATGGACAATAAAAAAAAAGAAATATCTGAAAGCAAGTTTAAAAAAGAAGTGGCAAAAAAAAAAAATTAAAATCTGAGTCCATCTGTGATTTGACTGATACGAAACTGTGATACCAATCAAAGACTGTTAGCCATATGCCTTTGTTATATATGTGTGCTCTGTATTGCTAAATATGTTTAACAGACACATTCTCATGTGTGCTGGTTGCTGCTATTCTTTTGACGTACTCATGAAGAACAACACAAATGCATTTATGCAAATGTCGATTCAGATACTTTAGACATGCACACACTAACACACACTTGTTTACATGTTTCAGCTCTATCCCAGAGTGCACTTTGTCTTTTTTGTTTTTTTATTGTTGCTTTTCCATTTGGGATAGAGCAGAATATTGACAGTTGAAGGCTGTGTGTGCCTGGAGTTATTCTGCGTTGTTGTGCACTGTCTTCAACATGACCCATATAAAGAGATCATGAGGTGTACTGTCTTTCTTTCACAGGTGCTGCAGCCTGTTTCCACTTATTTACAGATACTAGAACTGACTCGAAAATATTTCAGGCTTTATTCTTGTTTTGTCAGTCATTTTAAATACAGCTTGTCCTCGAGAAAACAAGATTCGATGGTCAGATCTTCAGTTCGTTTTGTAATTTTCAATGTAAATCGTTGCATGATCAAGCTGAGACAATCTTCTACATGCACATGCCTCCGATGACATCACATAAGGCATCTGATCAGTTCCTCTGAGTATGTTCAGTTGTATGATGTTTCTGTTTTGTTTGTAATCACTTTTTTAAATGTTACTTGTCTACCAGCGATTACGAATACAGCTGTTGAGCTTGATTATGCTTTCCCTTGTGTTATCATAAACCAAACACAGAATGTGTAGTCATGTTTTCCCCTCTTGCTTTTAAAAAGTGTATTTTGTAAAGTCCTGAGACTGAAATTTCATTTTCATCACTTTGGTATATTTGTAGTCATTGAAGATCTCTTTATTAAAAGAATACACTACTGGATGGGATCTTTCACACGCAGGGAACCTCACTATTTAATCACGTTACCAAGCAGAGCTTTACATTTTTGTAGTGATCAGTACTCTCTGGATCGCAGGGAAACACATCAACACAGCAGATGTCAAAACAATTGAAAGCTCCCTGTTAGATCATAAATGGTCCAGTCTCTGTTTAAAGGACACAAAGTCAGTAAACATCAATGAAATAAAAAGAAAGGCGTACAGATAATAAAAGATGCAACGCACTGTGGCAGATGTAAAAATAAAGAAAAAAACAAACAAAAACAGAACAAGCCACAAGGATTTATGTTTGGCTTGGAAAAGACGTGGTGATTCCCTGCTGTGTTGGCAGCGTGTTTGGACCATAAAGATAACAGAAGTGAGCCGGAGCAGAGTGGAAAACTTCAAATCCTGTCCGTGCCAAAGGCGTAAATATTAACATTCTCACAAAGGTTTACAGCAGTTGCACTGTCAAGCTGTATAACAGCAAGTATGAGTTAGTGCTTCAATGAATAACCTACCACTTTACTAGTGATTCCTTTCCAATAATCGTTTTCATAAGGCAAATTGGAAAAGTGTTTGCTCACATGTTTCTCTGTTGGTTTTCCTAACCGTGTCTGTGTGCTACTGGTACTTTGCATTTTGCATGTTCATTCAATGTCTGCAGCTCCGTCTGATGTTACTATAGTACATCTAATGTCACAGAAGCTCACAACCACCCCTGGGCTCTGCAGCAGAATATCTCCATAGAAACAAAGGACGGCAGCTGGTCAAATGAAGAGACTTGGAGATTGAGCCCTGCAGGTAGACAGAAGACATAGCTACTTCCAACGTCTGCATTTGTAATAGCTGCCAGATCATTTACTGTATGTCGGTACAACTTCTGAGAAGGGTGGGAGCTGTGAAACTTTGTCATGCATTTGTTATAATATTTACAATCATCTGCTACAGTATGTGTGTCTGACAGAGGGTTGGTGTCCCACGTGTAGGATGAAAGTCACCGCGCACAGATTATTTGAACAGCAGATGAGTCAGACTAATGGCAGTAACACAAGTCATACTAGAGAAATTTCATCAGTAAATCTATGAACTCTTGTTTCAGAAATGAATAGTGACAAAGGGATATTCCAGAATCTTTTGGACGAAAGCTTGGAATTGAGATCGTTCACGCCACATTGATAACTGGCAAAAGTTTATGGAAAGATCTAGTCTGATCCAAAAAGATGGCATCCGTCGCAGTTTAGCCAGAGCAGCTCTTCCTTCTTGGAATCTCTAAAAGATTGACTAATGATATTTGTTCATTTATATTGTGCTTCCTTCCCTTGAACCTTTAGAATCTATTGTAAAATTAAGACATGAATGTTCAGTTTTTCACAAATATTACTCAAGGCAATCATTTAAAGAGTGGGTCCTTTAGGAGTGTTGTAGTGACTTTGCGTGTGGTGTTTTCCCCTTCTGCAGCCTTTGGCAGTGTAGACCAGAACAGGTTGCCATGGATGTTGATGCTGTTTTTTTGTGGTTTCACAAAAATCCAATTACTTCTGGAAGCTCATTGGTTGATCAGCAACCAGGCAATCCTGACAGATACTCCATACACAAAATGTGGAATACATCACCCTCAGAGATACACTGACACGTGTATCTCAATTTCAGTTGTAGTTTTCAGTGGCAGACGTATTTTATTTTTGTAGCTGTGATGGGAAAACGGCGGTCTGCTGCCAGTCATCGCAGTTTTTACTGTCGTAGCAAGTAAACAGATGGTGGAGAGGGTGATAGTGTAACATTGGGAAAGATGCTGCTGTGCTCCACACTGAATGACTCATCATACTGTCACCGTGACCTTTATCTGTTCACCCTTCTCTACTTATTTTTCTTCTATTCTTCTACTCCTTTCCAATTTGATTTTCTGCAAACTCCTGTCCTGCTGACGATGTCGCAATCCTTAATCATCACTTCATACGATCAGAATTTGGAGTGAAATCAGTCAGAGGGTAAATATTCCTCTGAGGGAAGCAGAGGCTGTGATCATCCCAGATGAATGCAGTCAGCAGGTAAAGAATTTCCAAGGTCAGTTTTCTATTTATAGCTATTCCCTTGAGGAGAACATGAAGGGAAAATGTAGGTAGCAGGACAAAAAAAAAGAAGAAGGAAGGTTTGAAAACAAAGCCATTAGGAAGTCGGGATCAGCTTTAATGTAAATATAAAATATCTATGTCAAGTTCCAGAAGTTAGCTTGTTCATCAGCTTTCAAAATTGTATGAAGACATTGTAGTCTTTGTGTATTTGAATGTCATAATTTGAAGAAAGCAATAAAATGTATTTTTAAAGCATTGTTCTGATCAATTTTCTTTCTGTAGGCGTAGAAAATATTTTCTCAATCCCAATTCACCGAAAACAGGAAGGATATCCTCCAGTTTAATGCCAAATATTAAGAACAGACTATGTGTTGTCTTGTACCGTGTAAGTCAAAATTTGATGTTAACATTCTTTAAATTCTGAAAATGTGTAACATATTATTAGAATCTTATTATCAAACTTTGCTCTATTAAAATGGCAAATATTTTAAAAAGAGATAGAACTGGAAATAAATTGCTCATATTCCCTCCAACAAACACTAAACTGTCATGTTAAACAAATGACCATTTATAATAAAAAAAATAATCATGTAATATGACATCACAGGATTCTTAAAAATAAATTCCTAAAAAAAATAAAGCAAAAGAAATCTTGCTAAATGAGGGAAAAACGTGAAAAAATAGAAAGGTGAAAATTAGAGATTGGAGATTAAAAAAAAAAGATTTTCACACACTCATTTTCTAAGCCTGCTTTGGTCCACTCAGGGTCCCTGGTGGCCCAGAAGCCCACTCAAGAGAGGCAGAGTACAGATAATGGATGAGTGGAGGTTCTAGATAGATGGGTAAGATAAATGAGAAAGACATTTACTGCTACACCTAAATTTAGAATCACTAATAAATCTGACTAACATGGCAACATCTCCACCAGAATCAAATTTTAAAATGAGATAAATGAGTAAATTTATTTATTTTTTTTCAATTTTGCATTTCTATTGTGTCGTGCTGTAAGAACAGAAAACAGAACTTTTCATGTGAAAGAATTGCTTCTAGTGCTGCCTGTCACTATCAAAAGTGACAGGCCTTTCTACTCCTTTAAGTTAGCAATAGTTTTTAGCTCCAAACTCTGAGCTGGATGCTATTGTTGTCCAGTCTCTTTGTTATTGTTGAATCAGAAAATGCCAGCCCGAACTGACGCAAGCGAGGTCCGCAGTGCTTTAAATGTTGTTCAGGGTTCTTTTGTGTCTTCCCAGATGAGTCATCAGTGTGGCTCTTGGCGTTATTATGGAAGGCCGACCACTCCTAAGAAGCATCACCACTGTTAATGTTTTCTCCATTTGTAGATAATAGCCCTGACTTTGGTTGCACAGAGTCCCAAAGCCATAGCTTTGTAACCCTTTCCAGACTGGTTGATACAAAATGATTTTGTTTCTTAACTGTGTTTGAACTTCGTTAATTATTTGTTGCTTCTATTTAGCATTTGTAGCTTATTATTTGTTGACAAACAGATTGCACGTAAGATATTAAGTGGTTCTAAGGGCCTGGAATAATAAGGACTGGGACTAATCTGAGAAACAGAACCACAGTGTGTCAAATAATTAGAATAAAATACATTTGTATTGGAAAAAATTCTTGTTTTTGGTAGACAGCAGTGCAGAAACTGGTCACCAGCTTTGAGCAGAGAAACCTGCAGATGCTTGATTTGTCAAATGTCTTAATGTTTATAATTTCTGCACATTTATCACAAAGAGATTGGAATAAAAGTGGAATCTTGGTGGTGTAAAGGTCAGGAGAATGTACTGGTCTCAGCCTGAAGACGTCTGGGTTTCCCGCCTGTTCGACCTTTACAACTGCAGGTAACGAAAAACAAGCAAAAACAGAAGTAAAACTTCACATGCCAATTCATGTGATTAATAATTTAAAGAGCAGGTCATCATTGCCTTTGTGAGAACATTAATAACATGGCATCAATTTTTTAGTTGTGTGTGATTTGCATGATGAGGAGATAAAAAAGTTAATTTGTAGCAGCAGTAACTGTGGAGAATAACACAATATAAATCTGAGGGACTGAATAAAGATACACGCCACACACACACGCACGCACGCACACACACACACACATATAGCTATATATATATATATATATATATATATAATTATATATATATATATATATATATATATATATATATATATATATATATATGTATGTATATATATATATATATATATATATATATATATATATATATATATATATATATATATAGCTATATATATATATATATATATATAGCTATATATATATATATATAAAAAACAGCAAGATATATATATATAATATATATATATATATATATATATATATATATATATATATTATATATATATATATATATATATATATATATATATATATATATATATATCTTGCTGTTTTTTTTTTTTTTTTTCTGTGATGACACCAAAAATAAAAGCTTGGATGCCTCCAAATCGGATTATTAAGCCGCATCTGCCAAAGCGTTATATTTACAACATTTGGGAAACACTTGTGTTTTATTCGCTTTTTTGGAAGCGCGTGTCCCCCCACTCCCCCCAAACCCCCACGCTGTGATGGTCGACGCTTCCTCTTTAAACGTGAACCACTAAGGACGGGAGAGTCGGGGAAGTGGGAGCGCAGAGGAACAGGGCGAGGCGCGCAAGACGCTTTCCGTATGCGCCGCGATGCCCAACCGCAGCCCCGCTCATCTCAACTATTGCGAATTACGGTGAAATCTGAGAAACTCGAAGAGGCGCCGGCGGTTCAAAAAAACAAACAAACAAAAAAAAAACAGACAGTCGTGATGAAAAAAACGTAGCTGAGTCAAACCAATGCTGAGACGGACAGATGCCAAGGAGCAGAAGGACGAGCTGAAGGGAACTCAAAAGAAGAAACAAACTGGACCAAAAAAGAAAAAAAAAAATAATCCACGCGTCTGCGAAACAAGAGAAATCCCGGTGAATTCCTGCATGCCATTTATCCTCTGAAGCGATCCTATAGAACGGAGATAATGCTATGCTGCTTTGCTTAGTGCATGGAGATTGTTGTGGCTGTCCTTCCAAAAACAAAACAAGAAACGGGATGGCTGCAAATGTGCTTGAGCATGTCTGGCACCTGTCGTGCCAAACTAACCGAACAAGACGCCGTTGAATGTATGGTCCCAGTGCATGAACCTGGCTGGCTGCATCATTTTAAAAGTCATGAAGACAACATAAGTCCTTGTGAGCAAGTGGAGGATTGCGTTTCCATGGAATGGGTTGTGAGCGTAAGCATCCGCTTTGTTATGCGCATCACTTGTTATTTTTCATGGATATTTCCCATCAGAAAAAAAAAAGATGGTGATTCCTACATGGGGTTGGCTTTAAAAAAATAAAAATAAAAATCACAATTCAATAGCTAAAAGAGATGCAAAAAGCCCCACCGGGGCAAAACATGTCTGAGAATCAAACAGGTGATCGCGCCTTGCATATTTGCTGAAGCATGGGGGCGTCTGAATGGAAATGCTGCCAGCAGCGTTTCCCGCTCAGCCTCCCTTCCTCGCTGATAAGAGGTCGCAGAGGATCACCTTGGCTGTTGCCGCCTGCCGCGTCCCGCATGTTATTCCGAAGAAAACAGGAGTCCGCTTCTTTGCTGACGACAGCATTTTTCAAATGATCTTAAGACAAATCGCCTTTCCCAGGGGCGGAGTATTCTGGGGACTGACAACCCTTCAAAAACGAGCCCATCTGTCAGAGGCGATTTACTTTGGACCAAACTCGTCACCTGAGCCATTGTGATCAAGGTACATTTTTGTTAACAGACAAATAGGCACAAGTTTCAGGCTGTAACCAGGCATGCTCATTCAAACCTCATAACAGGCCCAACATCATAAAGATAATGTGCACTACCTCCCAAATGTAGGTGAAATATAAAGGAATAGAAACTTAAATTCCTTAGAAAAAATGCCAGTCACATAAATATAATCGGAGCGTCCACCTTTGAGAACGTGAGAAGCACTCAACTTTTAATCAGATCTGCTTGTTGTAATTTCGCCCTGTAAAATTGGATACTGCATTATGGTGAAAATATTGATCCTGCAGGGTGCTTATGTGAGAGAGAACTCCTAACCTAATATTTAAACTCAGTAGAGTCAAGGAGACTCCTGTTGTTCAAGCCCAGTCACTAATTCTGCTTTGCTGGCCAGTATCTACTCCTATTGTGGAAATCTATACAACACTTGAAGGTAGTTTGTGATTTAGAATCTAAAAAACAAATTCAATTTAAATGCTAACATTTGTTTCACTTAATAAGAATTAGAGTGTTGAACAACAAGTGGTTACATTCATCCCTTTCTCACTTTTCTGTCCTTTTAGCTTTCGCAGGCAGAGGTGCCTGTGCCCGATCCCGCAAGCGCAAAGAACTTTCACATCCAGCCCGCTGTGGCCCCATCCTGTCTGAAAGCTGCAGGCCCCATCTTCCTCCACCATGACGGTTGCCACCAGCGACCCTGCAGATGAAGCAGCGACGCACTCAGGTCAGCCTCATGACCAGTATGACCCAGAGCCAGACCACGAGTGTTGCGAGAGAGTTGTCATCAACATTTCAGGCTTGCGCTTTGAGACTCAGCTGAAGACTCTATCTCAGTTTCCTGATACACTGCTGGGCGATCCCAAGAAAAGGATGAGATATTTTGATCCCCTCCGGAATGAGTACTTCTTTGACCGGAATCGACCAAGTTTTGATGCTATTTTGTATTACTACCAATCTGGTGGGAGGCTTCGCCGGCCTGTCAATGTGACTCTGGACATATTTTCTGAAGAAATCCGATTTTATGAGTTGGGTGAGGAGGCTATGGAAATTTTCAGAGAAGATGAAGGTTTTATAAAGGAAGAGGAGAGACCACTACCAGAAAATGAGTTTCAGAGACAAGTGTGGCTTCTGTTTGAGTACCCAGAGAGCTCGGGTCCAGCTCGAATCATTGCCATCATTTCCGTCATGGTGATTCTTATATCGATTGTAAGCTTCTGCCTGGAAACACTGCCACTTTTCCGAAATGAAGACGAGGAGATGTACAATTACCCACTGCATTCCATGTCCAACTCCACCTCTACATATGACCCCTCCACATATTTTACAGATCCTTTCTTCATTGTGGAGACCCTCTGTATCATCTGGTTTTCTTTTGAGTTCCTCGTTCGATTTTTTGCCTGTCCAAGCAAAGCTGGATTTTTTGGTAACATTATGAACATCATAGATATTGTGGCAATCATTCCATACTTCATCACCCTGGGCACAGAGCTTGCGGAAAGGCCTGAGGACAGCCAGGCTGGCCAGCAGGCCATGTCCTTGGCCATACTTCGTGTCATCCGTCTAGTAAGGGTGTTTCGCATCTTCAAACTCTCACGTCACTCTAAGGGTCTCCAGATCTTAGGACAGACACTGAAGGCCAGTATGCGTGAGCTGGGCCTCCTGATCTTTTTCCTGTTTATCGGTGTAATTCTCTTCTCTAGCGCTGTCTACTTTGCAGAAGCAGACGAGCCACATTCACAGTTTAGCAGCATCCCTGAAGCATTTTGGTGGGCAGTGGTTTCCATGACCACTGTAGGCTATGGAGACATGGTACCGACCACTATTGGAGGAAAGATTGTGGGCTCTCTTTGTGCAATTGCTGGTGTGCTGACTATTGCCTTGCCTGTGCCTGTCATTGTATCAAATTTTAACTATTTCTACCACAGAGAGACAGAGGGTGAGGAACAAGCGCAGTATCTGAATATCCCAAGTGTGCCTAAAGGTAGTTCTGCTGATGATCTGAAGAAGAGCGGTCGAAGTGGGAGTGGATCCACCCTCAGTAAGTCTGAATATGTTGAGATCCAGGAGCCTGTTAACCACAATACTGAGGACTTCAGACCAGAGGGCAAAAAAACAGGAAACTGCACTCTGGCCAATACTAATTTTGTAAATATCACTAAAATGCGTACAGATGTATAATGCGACCTATACATCTGTATGTATGACATTTGACCTTCCAGTGTTTGGAAGGTTAAACATTGTTAGTATTGCAGGGAGGTGAATTCATGCCTCCCTCTGCTCGTGAATTACAGTACAAAGGATAAGAACACAGAACAAGATGAGAGCAAGATGAACTCACACAAAAGGGTAGATGGAGAAAACCGCAAGTTCTCCTATCACACAGGATAAACAGTGCACTTTCCAGAACTGCCAGACATCTTGTTTAGGACATTTTCATGTCTGCATGGAGTTAGTCTTATACAGTAGAAATAGTTTGTAACAGCGGTTGTCCTGCTTGCATCAGTAGCCAACTAGTAGCCTAATAAATTATAATTCATTATTGCAACATAAATAGACCAGTAGTATGTATTATATGACTTCAACTGCTCCAGACAAAAATGGACAGTCGAGATCATTTTAGAGTTAGCATTTTTTATGAATTTGTAACCTAGCTTCTAATGACAAAAGGTCTTCATGGGCAACTTTAATCTGCTCCTCAAACTGCCCAGGCCCCGATTCAAAGAAAAACATAATCACATTATTCTGTCGGGGGAATACTCATCAGCGCAACATAGAGAGTCTGAGACAGTCATAATGGTGTTTCAGTACAAGCAGAGACTTGCATTTAGCATTCATTCCTTTGCTCTGTTTCTTTTAGTATGAACTAGAGGTCAAAGTGAGGACAAGCATTTATCTCTACCAATTACCCAAATTATTGGGCCAATCTTTTCAGACAACTAGAAGAGCAAAATAAATGTTTTTTTTCTGAACGACCAGAATGTTTACTTTGTATATTTTTGATATATTTATAGTATATTTTTATTGTGTTAAATGCATGTCTCATTTTTGTTTTCAATGCTCAAGGATATAGGAAATATTTTCACTGTATTGCTCAGAGTCAGTGCCTGTTTCTCATTGACTGTAAGGGAGAGCGGGGCACAACCTAACACTTTTTTGCAATCATGTACATCCATTGGACATAGTTATCCTTATTATATTGTTTTATCTTAATTTCAACGATTCTAATTGGTATGCTGCAAATGAAAACTCAATGTCTGTTCTAGTAACCCTACAGGTTTTCTAAATCGTCACTGAAAGTAGCAGCAGAGACATTTGACAACTTGCCCCACAGGTGCTGTAAATTGCTTAGCAAATCTCTATGGATTTCAGTGGGAGCTGTCTGAAAATGTGCACTGTATTTTCATTTGACAAAATCTCAAAATGTCTGGAGGTACACACTCCTTAACTCTAAGAAACTCTGTAAAATGTCTGTGCTTGAAATAACCTCCGTGTTAGGACATGCCCCACGTTCCACAACCTATAAATGTCTGTCAAGTTAGATTGTAACACCACTGCCCAACATAAATCTTTGCTGTTCTGGACTTCAAATCATTCCATGTTATGAAGAGATTACAGAGAAGCTTTAATATGTCATGTACCTTATCTTGGAGCTGATGTCAGGTGCATTTTTTTATATATTGCAGAAAACAGAGCTTATGTATGATTTTGATTACTTATGCTTCATACTGCGTTGTCCTCCAAGTTATTGTTTTTAGAACCACGTTCAACCAAAGAAGGAGCTCAACTAAAGTTACTCTGAGTGTTATAAGGTTTGTCATTTACCTGGAGGGTTACATATTTTTTTGTGGTTGATTTTTAGGTATCAAAACAATTGTTAGCATTTTAAAACGTATGTAGAAACCTCCTGACAACGTTAAGCGGTACTGTAGCTGCAGTAGAAACATTATAACTAATTTATGACTTAATGTAATGCTTTACTTCATCACAACTACTTTCCCCTGTCATTTTCTCCCAGTCAATAAATCCAAATTAGTAAACTACATCCTTCTGGAGCAAATCAAGTTAAGTCTATTTTCCTGTACAGTAGATGCAGGCTGCTATCATCCTTCTTGTATCTTAGGTTGAAAAACTATGCTGTTATTACCCATAACATAATCACTGACAGAAGAAGTGGATAACACTGGACTCTGTTACTGTGTCTTTTGTTTGTGGGAAGGATATACTAGGTAGCAAGAGTGCATTTTCTCCCCAAGGATAATATGCTAGAAGAAAACGGGTTGTCATGGTGGGAAGCAGATTTGACGAGAGCCAACTTGTGATGCACGATCATCTTCAACATTATTTCTTTTGCGGGGCATGCCAGCCTGCGGGGGGCGGCTGTGGCTGTGTGGCAGAGTTGTCGTCTTGCAATTGGAAGGTTGTACGTTCGATTCCAGCTTCCTCCTGCCATATGTCGATGTGCCTCTGGGCAAGGCACTTAACCCCAAATTGCTTACTGGTCTGCGTATCGGCATATGAATGTGTGTGTGAATGGGTGAATGTGACTCTAGTGTAAAGCGCTTTGAGTGGTCAAAAATGACTGGAAAAGTGCTCTATAAGTTCAGTCCATTTACCATTTAGTATCTAACAATGAGGATTCACGGAAGGGACAATGGTTGACTAGTCCTTGTGTTGGATAAGTGTGATAAGTGTGCTGTGTGGCCTAATGCAACAGTTGAGCAGCTGTAGCTCAAATTGAAGAAGTTAATACTGGTGCATGTGCATTGTTCACAATTGAAAACAAGTGGAATCGAGATTTTCTGTGAGAACTAGCAAGCCGATGGAGTCTATGTGATACAAACAGTGTATCCAGCAAACTAAAGAAATAACATTAGGGACATGGTGGATTGCTTCCTGTCCTGTATGATGTGCATAGTGGCCTGCCTCTTATGCATAAGAACTAAATCTGCACCCAGACTGAATACATTTTGTGTCGCTCCATTGTGTGTACTCTTATGAAAAGGTGCAGGGATTAGATTTATATTTTTGGTGCTTGTCAATCAAGGAGTTTTGGTAGCATCTTCTTAAATATGTAGCTGCTTCAGCTGCAAGATGTTATCCCTGTAGTCTGGTCTTCTATCATAAGTACAGAGTGAAAGTTTACCAGAAAGAATTAAAGCAACCTGGTCTGTACATTTGTGTAAGCACCTTAGAAGGATATACCGGTAACATTGCTGATACACAACACACCTTTAGGAATCTGGTGGAAAAGTCAGGGCTGTTTCAACAGCAAAATGGAGAAAACACTCTTATGCCTGATTGTTGTATGTAGGCCTATCTCAGTTGCTTAGCATCCTGTTAGCTCAGCTGTTGTATAAATTTATTATGCATAAATTCAGCAATGTTTACAGGGTTGCCATTTCCTGTTCCTCCTTAACGTGTATTATTCTGGTTTTGTAGAACTGCTAACCCTGTAAAGTTGTAGCATCCCCTAAAATGAATAACATTTAAGTATTAAACTGACTTAACTGTACTCCAATACTCACTTGGGTCGCAATCCATTTTAAGAGAGTGCTATATATACAATATATATATCTATGAGTCCTTATGACTCGACACAAAATTTATGACAGGAAACAGTATAGTGATATATCTCATATACAGTTGGATGTTAGATATTCATTCTTTCTCCCAAAAGTTCAGTGTGCTGAATACTGTCCAAATAAAAGCACAACAGCCACAACATGCTGCCAGCCCAGTGGATGCAACGAGATTCATAGTTAGAGTTTTTGCTCAGCTGAGTGTATTATAATGCTCCAAGGAAACGTCTGAGTGCTCCTCTCACTGACATATCGTTCCATCAAGCTTGATGTGTGGAGTGCATTCATATCTGTGCATGTGTGTGTTTGGGAGAGACGAGAGAAATGGAAAGCTTCTACACACACATAAGCCGAGTGTTGAGCTTTTAGAGACAACGTTGTAGCTAGTCCTGTTAACTGCTAGCTCAGATGACAAGGGCGGTCAGTGTGTTACAGCCTGTATATGTATACTATATGCAAATAGTACATCAAATATGGGATGCTGAAAGAATGCCCTGTTGCACAGGAGATGTGCTTCACAAAGGATGTGTTGGCTTATGGGATAAGCTATAATGTCTGCCAAGGCCTTTATTGCAGGAAGCACGGAAAATTTCTTAGGATGCAGTACAGCTGATAAAGGATGTAAAATAAACACAGCCTACAACCAAGTTCCTTTTCTTTAAATTTATTTATTTTTTTATTTTTTTTTTACAGTGGTTTATGCTTCTCCTCCAAACTCTCTGTTATTGAACATCTATGTCACTTTAAGCTTGGCCTTGGGCTCTGTTCTTTCAGTCCTTGTCACCAAACACACAACTGAAGTGACACACTGCCGAGACAAAACTGTTCTCCTGGAGAATCCAACAGGAATCAAAGAAATGAATGTGAACTGCTTTAAACTCCTCCAACTCGTGGATATTTACACACAAAAACCCACACCGACCGTTTGAACATATAGCTTGTGTACTAATGTGTACATACACTGCCTGTGGAAAATGATTTTAATGGACATGCCTGAGGATGGAAAACCTACCTGTGGCTTTATTTAGCCTAAAGGCCACAAAGGACAAAAAACTACAGATGATTGCACTTGTGTAGACATGCTAATTCATCTAAAGTTTCCAGCTGCTTTAAATGATGTCTTTTGTCTTAAAATGCATAAAGCTACTGCTATGTATAGACTTCCATGTGTTTCAAAACTGAGATATGTGCTGCTAACCTAATCACTATATGTATATATATTTGTATTTGTATCATTTAATGACGTTCATTTTTCATCTAATGAAAAATGAACATGTTCACTATTGCTTTTTGTTGAATGTCATTAAATCAAATGCAGTGAATGAGGTTTGTTGAAGATACACACACAGGCCTTGCTTAAATACTGTGTCTTAATATGTCTACTTTCTATACCTTGAGCCAATTGTGTGTCATTCATAAAGCTTAACTTTATGAATGGCATAAAGTTAAGTTTCTGTGTAACTGCTGTCTTTCACTTCTGTGCTAAAAAGCCTTTGAAACAAACTGTATGTTGTGTAAAGAAGAATTATGTGTCGGAATGCTACCCATGCTCTATACATGGATTTGTGATGGACATAAATAAGGCAGTCAGGAAAATTTTCCAGTGTCATTATTTTAAAAGTATTGTATAACTGGAACATGTAATGGTCTAAATTATGATGTCAGTAAAACGGAAAAAAAAAAGAAAAGAAAAAAACTTATATATAAACAAAAGTTACTTTTGTGTTTCTTTTTTTGGGTCCAGTAATGATATGTTTTTAATTAGAACATTTCTGTACTGATCATAAACTTCTATATTTTAAATTTACCACACATTAACCTGCACTCCTTAAATTACTTGACTTTGTTTTTGTGCTTATTCTGATATCAGAGTGTTGGATGTTTCCTCTTAATGTTGATAATAAGCACCACATCTTTATCATTGTTACCTCACAGATTCTCTGGCAGATTTAAGTCAGGTCTGAATATTTAGAGGCTTACTTCTCATGAATCTTAATTTGATAGATCTAGAAATTCAGACAAGTGTTTAATGTAGAGCATTGAATGTTTTTTATATTTGTTTTTGGGGTTTTTTTTGTTGTCTTTTTTTATTATTGGTTGTGCTGAAGTGCTCTCCAAAGGTCCACAGTTAGCACAGGCAGGACACACTGTTTTGATATGTGTCTTCCTGCACATACCATCTTGTTCTTATAATTTGTTAAAGTTGTTTATTGTTTGTTTATGCTTTTGGAATAATTATTCAAAAGCATCTTTGGAAGCTAATTAAAGTTATGACATTCTTGATGACCTGTCCAGGGAGTACACCGCCTCTCGCCCGGAACATTAGCTGGAGTTAGGCACCAGCACCTCTTGACCCCACTAGGGACAAAGGTGTAAGAAAATGTATGGCTGGATGGATGGACATTCCTGATCATGAAAATGTATGAATATTTTCTTATAGGAGCTGGTTTTGAGACCCCCTAATCTTTGCTTATCCTGCTCTTGCCTTTGTTTTATATGTTTTTTTTTTTTTTTTACTTGAGTTGTTTCACTTTTGCTTTCTCTGGCACTTCATTATAACAGTTTGTTCTCTCTTGTTCATTACCCTCTACCTCTAGCAGCTCTAAGCACTGAGGTAATGCGCAGCGGTTGAGCTGATTCTCCTCTCAGACATATAGGTGGAGTGCAGAACTCCCCCTGGACGTCTCAGTTGACTGGGTTCCGGTATGTTAGCAGAGAAAGACAGTCGAGCATCTTTCATGATAACTAATGGGTATTTTTCCACTGCTTTATTGTCCTAATTATGTACATAAAAAAATAAATTTTTTACATACGTTATAAAAAACAGTAATTCAATATTTATTAGGGGTTTAAAAGCAAACTAAAGCCACCTATTTTTTCAACAATCCAATGCTGCAGCATGTTTTGTTAATATAACAGTGAGATTTTTTTTCTTCATAAGGGTCTCATTCAGTTATCTTTAAACCAGTATACAAGCTACATCTAGCATTTGTGGCTTTTTCCATTATGCGTTACGTTGGCCTTTTTTTGTGATTACTATGAAAAATTTTATATTAGCTATTTGATAATAATAAATCAAATACACTTCACCCTGTCAACCAAGTACAAAATTGCCCATTTTTTGTAAGAAATATGTATTGAACCATATATTTCCAATACATTTTCCTATCCAGTTTCTTCCAGTCAATCATCTTGACCAGCACAAGTGCACTTGTGTCTGTATGTAATTTGAGCCCATATTCAATAAGCTAAATGAATGCCAGGCAGCACTTCCCCAATGCAGTGAGAACTGATTTACCACCTTATGCATAACGCATTTAATGGCCTGTAAATCTGAACTTTCCTTTATGCCACATTATTCTCAGAGGGAGAATGTTGTTCATACTGTGCTCACATTTGTATTCCTGTTTGTCCTGGAACAAGACGACACTTTTTTCTTGTTTCTAATTAATCCCCACTGAAGCGTGGTTCCTTTTTGTTCCTCACTGCAGTTATTTGCTGAGTATATGGAGGACATAAAACCTTAGTCTTGACGTATTTTTTTTCTTGAAAGGAGTTAGTAGTTTGTTAAAATGAAAAGATGAGAAATGAAAAGATGCTTTCAGGAGGGTGTAAATACTCTCAGACCTAAACAATCATGGCACGCTCCAGAAGAATCACTTTCTGAACTTGATGTAAAAACCTTTATGATAATAATGTTGCTAAGACTTGCATCTACCACTGTAGATGTGAAGAAATTAATTGTTCTTTAATGTCAGTTGCATTAAAAGAATAAGGTTATCCCGGCTCATTTACCAAGTGGCATATTTTTTTCCATTTATTTTCACATCTATAGGTTATGTTCAAATTGCTAACAAAAAGCAAAAATATGAGCAACAGATTAATCAGCTGTGGAGTTTGCTGAAAATTCTTCATCTTCATTTCTGCCACCTGCCAGACAATTCAAATCTTTTGTGTTTTATAGTCACCTATTTCTTTACAAACAAGTGGCTATAAGTACTTTTATAAAATCAACGCTACCTTACATACACACAAAATCATTAGATCCTTTGTACAGAAACTACTAGCAGTAACAACAGACTACACGTCATGCTGCAAAAGTGCCATTGACAGGCTTTCGTGGAAAACTATGTTAATAGATGCCCTGTTTGCAGCACTTATATGTGCCCTTTGTAATTTTTTTAAGGGCCTGGGAATCAAGGGCTGGTGAGTGCGCACGTGTCTGTGAGGGCTTTGCAAAGTACAGTCATAGTAGCCACAGTAAAAACAAAGGCTATGATAGCCACTTCATCTTCTTCTTTCTGTACTTCCCACTAACTTATCGCTCCCAGACATAATGTAATGGCCTTAAAATATCCCAACCACATGAATAATTCATGAGCTCTAAGACCATGCTCTACAATCCCCCTTCTGGTTTTTGGTTTCTCTCTCCTTCAGTCTCTAATGTTGTCTGTTTATAGATCATTAGATTTGCAAGCTTAAAACTGCTTCATTGCTGGAATTATGTGACATCTGGGTTTGTGTTTCACTTCCAGGTTCATAAGAAAGGAAAGATGGCTCACAATCCGCTTGGAAAAACGTTCACAAATAAGCTGCTACAATTTTTTATGTCTCATATCGCATTACTCTTGGATCAAGAGGGAAGTGACTGAGTGAGTGACGAGAAATCATTATTACTTACTGTCTATGTGGCTCACATGTTTTTTTGTAAACTAATACCTACTAAAAAGGAAGAGGCTTGAATGTTCTTGTTTTTTATTTTATTTTATTTTTTGCAAATTATATCACCCATGAGCTATTGTGGCTGACAAAAAAAAAAAACCCATAAGAAACCATATGAAGAAAAAGCTTCCTTTTTCTAAGTTTTCTCTTCTCACTGTCACCCTACCTTGTTCTAAGTGTGTCACTGAGTTAATAAAATGTGGAAATAACAGCGTGTTACAGTAGAACAGCTCTCAAGACAGAAAAATCAGTGGGAGAAAATGAGTGGGAGAAGAAAATAAGGCCTCCTGGGATAAGTAACCAGAGCTTCCAGGGGGGAAAAAAAAGAAAGAATATCTGGATGAAATCAGTATTGTGGGGCTGTTTGTGAGCAATTCCTTGTCTATGAGATTATTCCTATTTCTATTTCTAAGTATTATCTTAGAAATAGATTCACATATGAAATGTGCATTAGAATTAAGTATTTATGATGGTGAAAAACAAATAAAGTTGAGCTAAGGTTTATGTACAATCAGAAAAAAAAGCAGTTTTCCTTATTAAAGTTACGAAACATGTTGGAAAATCACAAGGGTCAAATGCATCTTGTCCCCATGACATTATATAGGCCTGAGTAAAATCTCCCAATCCAAATTTCAACATTAGGAACGTTTGCTATTGCATAGGAGTATCTTCAAAATCAGGATGCTGCAGTTTTTTTCATTAATATATTTGATAGTTAGCTAAAATGTATTCATTATGTGGAACATTAAAGGGTTTAAAAAAAGGTTTGATGTTTTGCCAGTGTGACAAACAGCAGTGTCACTGTCTGCCTGTAGATGGAAACCTATTCTTACTTTTACTTTTTTGTATTCCATGTCTGACTACTCTGTCAGCCACATCAACAGTTGCTTTTCCTCTCCGGGTGCAGACGCTTGCAGGTCCAAAGGCCAATTACCTGTAATACATGTAAAATCAAAGGTGTTTAATGGTTAAGTCAATACAGTTAATTATATAGCCTAAATAATATTTTCTTTTTAACCATATTTTTATATATATATATATTAAAAAAAGACTAGCAGAGCAGAATCTGAGATGTTGTGCTGATGGAACAAAACATCTTTGTACATATTAAAAAAAAAAAAGCCAGCCATAGGAAAAGCAACAGAAACGTCTGCGTTGTTTTAAATCTGCCCTAAATGAACGCACAGCCACACTGGTGCCCTCTTCTGGTGCTGCTACGTAAAAGCAGGCTCACAATGCAGGGGCAGTATGGTCTGCTGGTCAGCTGTTCATCAGACAAATAGAATGAATTATAGTTTCACGCTCTTTGGAAATGTTATGTTTAATCCGTCGCTTTCTAAGCACTTTGCATTCCATGGAGCTTAAAAAGCTATGCATTACATTTACGATAAAATCTTCAGATCAAATACAACAGTCTTCCAAAAGATTGCAGAAAACGAATCCATATTGAGCTGTTCAAGTGTTGTGAGCAGACTGACAGATGTTCAGACGCAACTCTCCTCCTCTTTACTCTCTCTCTCTCTCTCTCTCTCTCTCTCTCTCTCTCTCTCTCTCTCTCTGTCTCGCGCTCTCTCCCTGATGAAAACCGCACAGCCTTATTTGGTGGACGAATAAAAAAAAAAAAAACACAAAAAACCCCAAGGACTTTACAAAGTAAGGAAATTGGCCAAATTGAACACCGGGGTAATTATGACGAGCTTACATCACTCGCATCTGCTCCCAGTGAGTGATTGGCCGGTGAACCCTCCAGCTCCAGCTGCCGCGGCGGGCAGGGCTGGAAGCGCCTTTTGGTCCGGCGATGCGCTGCGCACAGACTAACTATGCCTCGGAGCCAAACTTTCCGAACGGTACCTGAAGTCCACAGGAACCACCTCTCTTTTAAAGGTAGGCGGTTGTGTTTCGTTTTAATGTGCCAACTGCGTTCTACGGGTTTGTCATGTTGGGAATATTAGTTCCGATATGCAAAAATAAACAAGTAAACATAAAAAAACAAACATCCAATCAGAACCACAGAACAGATATCACTTACGTTTACCCACGTTTTTTTTTTTTTTTTTTAGCAGGGAGTGTCGTTTGCTGCATTCACATTTGCGTCCTTTCTTATTTAGTGATTTTTTAAAGACTCTGTTGATGAGCTCTACAGCCTATGTAGGAGCTGTATGTAGTAAAGTTATATGTAATATTTTTAAAAAATGACAGCAGTCGCTTGCATTTTTGGATAGAGAATTGTGATATATTTGCTCAAAACTTTATAGGGACCAGTTCAAGGTGTTTATTTGCTGCACACTCCACGGCTGCAGTATGAAGCAGCCCTTTAAGTTCAGCTTCAGGTCCTCAATTCGTGTAGCTTTTGAATTTGAACAAGTTGCCGTCAACATTCCTCAGAGATTTTGATTTATATTGATGTGATCAGCATCACACGGTTGCAATAGATTTTCCAGCTGCACATCCCGGATGAGAGTCTGATGATGATGATGAAGGCCATGTGTAGCAAAGTAAGCTCAGATTGTATCACGTTCACCAAACTGATGAGACAATTTGAGTTGCCCAGAAATGGACAGAGTTGTTGTTTAGCATTCTGTCATTTCTGGATTTGAGTCCAGCTTCCAACTTTAGCCCAACTTGCCTATGATCCCTACATCAGTGCATGAGTGAGTTCACATATGTGAACATGCACACATTTATACAGCATTCACATTTGTCAAAATTCTGTCAATATCCCATTGATTGACAGATTGACAGATTGACAGCTGAGATTAAGTTGACCAAGAAAAGTTTCTCACATCATTAAACACGCAACATCACAATATTCAGGAAATGTGAGTGTTTGGTCTTCAAAAAGAATAGAAGACCCCAATTTATATTTGAAACTCCAGGAATCACAAGAAATGTATTTTCTGAAAATGAAGTGCTTTGTTGAGGAAGTATTTAACTACTAGATAAAATCAAGCTTTTTCATTTGGAGCTCTTGAGATAGTCTTGTGCAGTTTTAGCAAAATAAAATACTTTTCTCTGCATGTGTTGTTGTCGCTAATCCATCCTGACCAGTCTTGAAAGACTGTAATTGAGGTTATTCTTACTAATATTACAGTATGATGAAAATAAAAAAAATGAAAAGGAAAAAGAAACTGTCTAAAATAATTCCTCTCTTCTCCATCTAACAGTGATTTCCAAGTTTGAACGCTGGATAGTATAATTGTATTGCTGTTGTAAGAAATATAAATTGACATATCAAAAACTATAAATATTGCCATCTTTAGATTTCAAGAAATATAAAATTACTTTCTTGCCACAGATAGGACTGCATTTAACCTACACATGTGTTATTAATTTAAATTGTCACATGACTGTTTTCAAGTAAAATCCCTGACTGGAAACTGCAAGGATTAGATTACTTGACATGCACTGATTTACTCAATAAGAGAAATGCTGCTTAATCCCTTAATCTACAAAGAGAGCATTTAGCTGTCTCTAGTAAAATCTGTATATTATGACTTGGTTCGAAAGGAAAGTGTCAAGCTCTTCTGAGTTCTACGTCTGTCTCAAGTATATGTTTTATGAGTAAATAGTGTGAGTATTTTATTTTGAAACACTTGGGATGAAATAAAAAGAAATGTTATTTTTTATTGCTGTTATTTTTTGGGTGCGATGTTGATTTGACCAACTTAATATCCTAAGTGGGAAATGTAAAGGACAAAATCTTGGTTTTCTTAGAAAAACAAAAAAGACTGAAGTTACCAGATACAACATAGATAACAACCAAGAATTTTGGGTTAAGGACCTTTGAATTCAAATAAAATGTGTCTCCTTGGGATTAAGCAATTATAGTATTAAAGAAAAAGCCACACCTACCTATGAAGCATAAAGTAGGATGTGTGATTAGGGAAGGCTTTGCTACAGCTGTACCTGACTGACTCAACATTATAAAATGCACCAACACAGGGTAGCTATTCTAAAACACTACTGCATTAATCAATCTCTGATAAACAAATCTGAAGTTGAATTGAAGCCTATAACATGAAATTCCAGAACTTTACCATTTGTGGTTTGGCATAGTGACATATAATAATGAAAGGGGAAGCTTTCCACAGACTTTTTTCTGAGACTGCTCGATGGCTTCATTAAATATTTCACTAGATAACACTAGATATTTTGGGGAGGATGTTTCCTCCGCTAAAGACTTAATTTGTGTTCATTGTTCTGTTCAATATGTGAAATATGTTTAATGGTTAAGTGGATTTTTGAACACTCAGGACTTGACTTTGGCTATAGTCTCGTAAGCGGTTTTTACTACATACCAGGGTTCTGAGATGCATATTTTTCTGTGAGAGGATGAGGTAATGTTGCTTTATTGGCCAGGGACATTCAGAGGATCAGCTGTTTTTGCTCATAATCTGCTCAGGCTAGCTTTATATTCATTATGACCTCACAGATGCATCTCAAACTTGACTGTGTAATACATGACTTTGGGTTGACCTAGAATGGGCAGCTCAATTTAATATGAACTTAAAGGTTATAAACTTCATAACTTAAAGGTTTAAAACCTTTAAGTTATTATTTAAGAATAATCGACTCCAACCTTTTCAAACTATTTGTTGAAACAAATAAAGAATTTGACATTTGACATTTCCTCTTGAACCTTTTTCAGCACATAGATTTTCCATTAACCCCATCATTGGACGATTTTGTCATCGCACATCATAGAAGTCGCTCTATTACGATCACAGTCCATGTGGCGTACACAGGATGCTCTGAGATTGTGGATTAAAATTGCGCCATTCACCTGAAATGTGTCTGCGGCTAAAAAGGTTAAGGCCATAATCCTCATGCTGACTTTTGAACTTTCAAATATTTCTGTTTCAAATGAGGTCTAAGGATGAAATGTAAGGATGAAACTGAATTTACAGCCTACTGTAATGCATTGTTATAGACTGAGTAGATGATTTGATGAGAAAATGTTTGTTTGTGTCATTCGAGACTTTAGATTCGACTTGAGGGGGGGAAACTCGTGAACATGTCTGCTCCACTGTCTCTGTGGTCATTAAGTATGTTCCAGGAACTGAGTTTTCAGTATATCCTCATCACTTCTTTCGCCATATTGTGCTCATAGAGGAGTTTCCGAGCCAGGACGCTCAGGTTATGTAATGGATCTGTCTGATTGCTGTCTGTCTGCACAACCAGCTGGATTATCAAGTCAGGGATATTGGCCAAGTTTCAGACAAAACATAAACAAACTGCCTCTTGCTGCATGCGCAGTTGAAATGTTAAATAACCAACCTTGTTTTCCAACCTACAAACATCTTTCGAAAAGATGGACGCATTTAGTTAGTCTCTCCTTGTTTTAATCCCCGGCCAGGTACTGGACCTTTTACCCTGTTACATACTCCCAACAAGCCATTTTCTGTAAATTGGCATTAGTTCCCTGTGTAGCTCTGAGAGAGAGATAAACAAATTTTCCCAGATTTTCAGTTCAACATCAGTTGGTTTTATTTTACTGTGTGGAAAAACAAACAAACAAAAAGAAAACCTTTTATGTGGCACCAACCGCATTTCGGTTTACACTGCAGGTAATTGACAAGTGGTGTTGACAAGTGGTTTATTATGGAGATAGCAAAATTCTAAAATGACCTACAGTAAACAGATGAACCTGTAACCTTGTGATGACCACCTGCTAAAAAATATATTCAGATGTTGCCTAATTAACGTCATACTTATTAAAGATCATCTCACACAGGCTGTGTTTCCATGCATTTAAGTCTTTAGGGCTCAAATAAAGTAGTACAGTATGTGTCATATGGTAATTTTAGGAGCAGATGTGGCTTCACCCTGTGTGCATGTGCAGTTTAGCATCAGTTTATGTGCATATATGTGGGCATGCCTGCTGCTAGCTTGTGCACCACCTGAGATTAGTGATATGTCATAGAGTCAGACCAGATGTCCATATTTTCCCCGTCTGGTACTGGCACTGAAAAGGCTTCTGAAAAATAATTTAATATTTGTGGAAATGAGAAACCCTTAATCCCATCTGTGCCAGACTGATGCCAGAGGGTGAGAGTGGGTGACCCGGGTGCATGATAGAACAGATGAGAGCATACAGTTTATTGCTTTTAAGTTACATTAATTGCTGCTGTCTAATCCTGCGCTTGCGCTTATCAGCAAATAGGAATAAATGAGTATTGTTAGATCACAGCAAATTCAAGGGTATATTGGGAAATACATTATACAAAACAATGTTTGAGAGTATACAAGAGGCATAAAAGATAATGGAGGGTCACAAATGTGTATGTGAATAATATCACCATGCTCATTTTGAATTTTTTATCTTTTTTTTTTTGCATTAATTAAGAGAATAAGAAACATTTAATTCTAAAAGTACTAAAGTGCTCTTGTCTGTCTTGTCTTTTAATGTCTTGTCTGTCATAGATACATACAGAGTTGCAGCTGGAGGAATGTTTTTATAATGGCTGGCCTGTGGTTGGGTGGATATGTGGACATGTTCCGAAGGCTGTGTTAACAGATAGAAACAGCCTGGTGCGTCAGTCGGTGCCTGCAGTGGAAAATGCCTTGTCAAAACAGTTAGAGATGTTGTTGCTGATTTGTGTTTTTACCCAAATAGGAAACGACATTTTCTCTCTATGCAAACAACCTGAGAAACATATTATTGGTGCAGTAGGAAAATGATTATGCCTCAATGATAACTATTTGATGCTGAAAGAGTAAAAAACATTTGGAGGCAATGTCTCAGATATCTTTTTGACCTCACTATGGTGTTCAATCACATGTCAACAGTCAGGTTAACACTATGCTAAATATATTAGGCTTAAACAGGGGAAGCATGCTTCAACTTGCTTGCTATGAATGTTTTAAGCATGCATACCTACTAT